GTACAAGATGTGAGCGAACTATCTGAAACTGCTCGATGACAGATCCCAACTCTTTCCACTTCCCACAACTCTGCAAGCTTGTTCAATCCACCATGCAGACTGTCGCAAAACTTCATCAAATGCTTGATATCATAAAGGGTGGGAAAATAAATATTGATCAAACTAAAGAACCCAACTTGGGTATCTGGCAAATTATGGCAAAGTCAAGAGCTTAAGCAAGTAACCGAAATCATAACCACTATGAAAACTAACCCAATGCACACTGTCATTCAAAACAATCCCTGAACACATCAAAAGCTCACAAACCTCATTACTTCAATGCCCTTCTCGTTGTTTTTCTTGAAATCAATCCCACTTTGCCTCAAAAGCTCGACAGAATCTTTAGCAAATACGTCCTCGTTGACATTAAACTCACCGAAATTGAATTACCAAATGTAAAACTTATCAGTTCCACAAGTAGGCAAGTTTCCTTTCTCATGATCCGAAAACGTAAGACCCACTGAATCAACTTTAACATATCAACGTTGTCTTTCAAAGTTTGGTTGTGATAGTTATAGCTGTTCTTGAAATTGACCACGGGACGCAATACAATACTTGGAAACTTGGTCTCCATGGCAATGTAAAGGTAATCACTGACTATTTCAAGAATTTTTCAAAAAATTTTTGAAATTTTTTGGATTTTTTAAAAATTTTGATTATTTAATTCATAATTTTCCTTAGTTTTTATATTATTTTAAATTTTTTAGAATTTTCTTAGATTTTTTGAATTTTTAAAACTTTTTGGAATTTTTTTGAATTTTAAATTTTTTATAATTTTTAAAAATATTTTAGAAAATTTTTAATGTTTTTTTAAATTTTTTTTAATTCTAATATGATATTGATGATATAATACTAATTAAAATTTTTTTGGCAAATATTAGCCTTAAATGTTCACGTGATGTTAACATGTTTTTTAATGATGTTAAAAATTGAGACAATTTAATACACAAAAATATAACTAAAATATTTAATTAAAATTTTTTTATTTAAATAGCACGTTGAAAAAAGTACATAGTTTAGAGAGAAAATGATATGTTATCTATTTTTTTTTATTATTTTAACTGAAAGGATAAAATAATTATTTTAAAACTTAACATTTGTCAAGAGAAAACTCTCATGCATTTATCTTTCATCAAAATTTTTCTTTGATCTATTATTATTATTATTTGTGTAATTTTGAAGGTTGGAAAAGATAAATACTGAAAAGTTAGCGACTAAGTGCAATTTCAAAGCAAGTAACCAATAGAAAATGGTGAATAATTCATGCATCACGAAGGAACAAAAAACAAGTTGCACTAAAATTCAAATAGAGAAAGTTGATTTTTTTTTTCAAAAGCTATTGTGTAATTTTCAAAGGTCTGTCTTTCTTCGTAATTTCTTAAATTTTTCTTTAATGAAAAAGAAAATACTTAAAAAAAATTTAAAAGAAAAGACTTTGAGCAATGTGACTACTGATGCAACTTCTTTGTTAGCGGCTTAAATCTGAAATACTTCGTCTTTCTTCTCTCCACCCATAAAAAAAGCTTTAAACTTTCTCCCCAACTCATCTTCCTCTAGGCCTCTACACTACCCGGTCTAACTTTCTACTCAAACTCAGTTGCTCTTTTTGCGAAAAACGCTTTCCCCTACTCCTCACTGTGCTTTGCTTTTGTGTTTTACTTGTTGGGCTAAAAGCCTTCAATCTAATTACATCAGCGAAAACAAAATCAAACAATAAATCAAACACACAAAAAACAACAATTTAACGTAGTTCGGTCTAACTGACCTACATCCACAATTGAGAAACAAGATCTACTAGTTGTAGAGAATTACAAACATACATCAAATCATCAACCTCACTCAACAATCAATACTTATAAAACACTTTTAATCTCCTATAGTCCTATGAAGTATTCTCAACCCAAACAAATACAAACCCAAACCCTTGTGCACCTTTTCAACATAACCAAACACATACCCATATGCTCTCATACATCATATCTATGTGGACCCTCTCAGTCTCCTCTAGTCCACTCACAAACAAATATATACACACATAAGATGTAGAGCCCTAATACTCCAATGGGGTGTCTATCTCACAAAACCCTATAACTCTTTTACATAGTTTTCTCATACCTAACCCTGTAGAGACTTCATCTATTTATAACTATACAAACTTGCCCATAAGAATCTCTCTCCTCTTAGAATTCTTTTCCTGCAAGTCAAACTTGCCTATTAAGAATCCATTTCCTTTTAGAATTCTTCTCTTGCAAGTCAAACTTACCTATTAAGAATCCTCTTTCTCTTAGAATTCTTCTTTTCCAAGTCTTCTTGTCCATCAAGCAATATCTGACAAATCTCAAACAAATCCCAAACAAATCTCTTATGGGATTTGAGTCATTATTCTCAACAATCTCCACCTTGACTCAAATTCCATCAATCATCTGTCTTCATACTAGACATGCTTGCCTCCACCTACAATGGAAGTCTCACAATCATCTTTTCTTCTCTTGTGTCTTCACGCTTCATACAAACCAATCCTCAATCTTCAAAACTTGAACTCGAACTGTTCTCTTGAATTGAGCTCCTCTAAGCTTAATTCTTCCTATGTCTCAAATTAAGCTCTTCCCATATCTTGAACTATCAACTCTTTTCATGTTTTGAACCATCGGCTCTTTTCACATCTTGAATCTTCAACTCTTCTCACGTTTCAAACATTCAGTTTTAATACCACTTGTTGGAGAATACCACAGCTTTGATACTATTTGTTGGGCTAAAAGCCTCCAATCCAATCACACCAGCGAAAGTAAAATCAAACAATAAATCAAAAACACAATAGACAATAATTTAACATGATTCGATCCAATTAACCTACATCCACGGATGAGAAATAAGATCCACTAGTTGTAAAAAATTACAAACATACATTAAATCATCAACTTCACTCAACAATCAATACTCATAAGACACTCTCAATCTTCTCTAGTCCTATGGAGTATTCTCAACCCAAACAAACACAAACCCAAACCCTTGTGCATCCTTTCAATATAACCAAACACATACCCATATACTCCCATACATCATACCTATGTGGACCCTCTCAGTTTTCTCTAGTCCACTCACAAACAAACATACACACACACAAGACGTAGAGCCCCAATACTCCTATGGGGTGTCTATCCCATAAAACTCTATAACTCTCTTACATATTTTTCTCATACCTAACCTTGTACAGACTTCACTTATTTATAACCATACAAACTTACCTATTAAGAATTTCTCTCCTCTTAGAATTTTTCTTTTGTAAGTCAAACTTGCCTATTAAGAATCCATTTCCTTTTAGAATTCTTCTATTGCAAGTCAAACTTACCTATTAAGAATCTTCTTTCTCTTAAAATTCTTCTTTTGCAAGTCTTCTTGTCCATCAAGTAATATTTGACAAATCTCAAACAAATCCCAAACAAATCTCTTATGAGATTTGAGTCATTATTCCCAATATTACTTGCCTGGTTTTAGTTCCCTAGCTGTTCTTTCTTTCTTCTTTGTTTTTCTTTTAGGTTCCCTTTAATGGATCGGAAGACGAGTCTATCCAAACCATTTCTAGTCTTTACCCATAAATAAATCTTCAACCTTTCTCATCAACTCATCTGTCTCTAATCAATTTCCACTCTAACTTTCTCGACAATCTCAGTTGCTTTTTTTTTTTTTCAAAAAACCATTTCCCCTACATCCCACCTTTCCTCTTTCCATTTTGTTTTTTAACTTGGTTTTAGTCTCCTTTTTGTTTTGTTTTTCCTCTATTTTTCTCTTATTCCCTCATCGGAAAGGAGTCTGTCCAAACTATTTGTAATCTTTGCCCATAGCTGATTACATATATTTGCTTGTTGTCTTAATCTTTGTTGTTAATTGCTCCATTCTTGTCTTTATTTTCTTTTGTCATTTACTTTGCTGGTCTGCTTCAAACAAACCAATTAGCCAAAAAAAATGGAACCTATTGTTACTCGCACTGCAGCCAACCTTTCTTTGGAAGTTGCAAAAGGCATCTTCCAAGAAGTCAAGCATCACATGAGATATGTAATCGTCTACAAGAAAAACGTTGCCAAGTTTGAGGAGAAAATGAAAATGCTGCTGGCGAAAAGAGAAAGTGTGCAGGAATATATCAAATCTGCTAAACGAAACTTAGAGAAGATAAAATTGGATGTCAAGCTTTGGTGCAGTAAGGTGGACAAGTTGTTGGGCTAAAAGCCTCAAATCTAATCACACCAGCGGAAGCAAAATTAAACAATAAATCAAACACACAAGAGACAATAATTTAACGTGGTTCGATCCAATTAACCTACGTCCACGGATGAGAAACAAAATCCACTAGTTGTAGAGAATTACAAACATACATCAAATCATCAACCTCACTCAACAATCAATACTCATAAGACACTTTCAATCTCCTCTAGTCCTATGGAGTATTCTCAACCCAAACAAACACAAACCCAAACCCTTGTGCACCCTTTCAACATAACCAAACACATATCCATATGCTCTCATATATCATACCTATGTGGACCCTCTCAGTTTCCTCTAGCCCACTCACAAACAAACATACACACACATAAGACGTAGAGCCACAATACTCCTATGAGATGTTTATCCCACAAAATCCTATAACTCTCTTACATCTTTTTCTCATACCTAACCATGTAGAGACTTCACCTATTTATAACTATACAAACTTGCCCATTAAGAATCTCTCTCCTCTTAGAATTCTTCTCCTGTAAGTCAAACTTATCTATTAAGAATCCCTTTCCTTTTAGAATTATTCTCTTGCAAGTCAAACTTACCTATTAAGAATCCTCTTTCTCTTAGAATTCTTCTTTTTCAAGTCTTCTTGTCCATCAAGCAATATCTGACAAATCTCAAACAAATTCCAAACAAATCTCTTATGGGATTTGAGTCAATATTCCCAACACAAGTTACTCGAAGATGAGATGAAAAATGTGGAGGATCTTCAAGACAAAGCAAAGAGGAAGTGCTTCATTGGCTTGTGTCCCAACATCAAGTCTCGCTACCAACTTAGCAGGAAAGCTGAAGAAGTTGTCGCGGCTGTTAATGAACACCTTCAACAAGGTGAATTCAACAGTGTTTCATGCCCTGCTCCTCCGCCAGACATACTGGATGTAACTCCTAAAGATTTTGAGGCCTTTGAATCAAGAGCGAGGGTATATAAAGACATCATGGAGGCATTGAAAGATGGTACTACCAACTTGATAGGGGTGTACGGGATGGCTCATGTGGGCAAAACCACACTAGTCAAAGAAGTTTATAGACAGGCCAAACAAGACAAGTTATTTGATTCTGTGACTATGGCATTTGTGAATCAGACTCCTGACCTTCAAAAAGTTCAAGATCAACTTGCAGCTTCATTGGGTCTAAAATTAAAAGGAAAGGATGTGGTGGTTAGAGCAGCCCGATTGCGCGAAAGATTGAAGAAAGAGAAGAAGGTTCTTGTTATTTTAGATGATATTTGGAAGAAACTAGATTTGAAGGAAGTGGGAATTCCTTTTGGAGATGAAAACAAGGGATGCAACATATTGCTCACGTCAAGAGATGTAAATGTTCTAAGTAATGAGATGGATGCTCGGCAAATTTTTGAAATATCTGTTTTAGAAGATAAAGAGGCTTGGGACCTGCTTAAGAAGATGGCTGGGGACGATGCTGAAAATCCTGAGTTGCGATCTACAGCAATTGAAGTAGCCAAAAAATCTGCAGGACTGCCTATCGCCATTGCAACAGTTGCAAGGGCTTTAAGAAACAAAGGCTTATTTGCGTGAAATGATGCTTTGAGAAAACTACAAAGGCCTTCCCCAACAAACTTCACAGGAATACCAGCACATGTTTATTCAGCCATAGAGTTGAGTTACAACCATTTGGAAAGAGAGGATCTTAAACGCACATTTTTGCTTTGCGGGCTGCTAGGTTACGATACTTTCATTCAAGACTGGCTGAAATATACAATTGATTTGGGTTTATTTCATGGTGTCAACACAGTGGAAGAAACAAGAGATAGATTGTTGACAGTGGTGAGTGACCTCAAATCGTCTTGTTTGTTGCGTGATAGTTACACCAATGTGTGTGTTGATATGCATGATCTTATTTGTGATGTGGCCTCAGCGATCGCTTCTAGGGACTATAATGTGTTTACACTAAAAGACGAAGATGTTCTTAAAGATTGGCCTAATGGAGAGACAATGGCAAAATGCACCATGATTAGTTTGAGATATGCTAATATTAGCTATTTTCCCAAAGAGTTGAAATGTCCGCAACTTGATCTTTTTCTTCTGTATAACGAGAATCCTTCCGTGGGATTGCCAATTAACTTTTTTAAGGAAGCACTAAATCTTAAAGTTTTAGATTTGACTGATATGCAATTTCAGTCGTTACCTTCCTCAATTAGTCTCCTAACAAACCTTCGGACATTGTGCCTAGACCAATGTATTTTGGGAGATATTGCTGGGGTTGGTGAGCTCAAGAATTTAGAAATTCTTAGCCTTTTGGGTTCGGATATTGAAATGCTACCTAAGGAAATTGGGGAATTGATCAAATTAAGGTTGTTAGATCTCAGTGGTTGTATCAGACTCAAAATAATTCCACCAGGGGTCTTATCGAGTTTGTCTAGATTGGAAGAATTGTATATGGGTGACAGTTTTGTCAATGGGAAGTAGAGAGGCAGGCCAACCAACAAAGCAATGCTAGTCTTGCTGAATTGAAGCTTTTGTCTCATCTGACCACTTTAGATGTTCATATTCCTGATGCCAAGATTATGCCAGTGGACTTGTTCTCCGAGAAGTTGGAAAGATGCAAGATTTTCATAGGAAAGGGATGGGATTGGGTTGGTGAGTGTGAACATTCGAGGACATTGAAACTCAAGTTAAATACAAGTGTTGATGAGTTGGATCATGGATTTAAGATGTTTCTAAAGAAAACTGAAGATCTATATTTAGATGACATGAAAGGTGTCAAGATTGCACTGCATGAGTTGATGGATGAGGAAGTCTTTCAGCAATTAAAGAATCTCCATATCCAAAATGGTTCAGAGATCGAATATATCATTAGTGATGATGGTGCAGCTTATAAAAATGAATTTCTTCAATTGCGATCTTTGACACTCCATGGTCTGCCACAGCTCATTAGCTTTTGCTTTGAAAACAAAAGGGGCTCTAATTCATGTCAAAATGAGTTATCGCTTTTTAGTGAAAAGGTATGTTTTTCTTTTACGTTAGTTGCTAAATATTTCTGCTTTTAAAAAAATGAATAGAAAGAAAAAGGCAAAAAATAAAAAAAATAATAAAAAAATCAGTGATATGGAGAAAAAGAAAAAAGAAAAAGCATCTATCAAGTGAAGTCTTAACAAATATCCAAAATTTGAAGTAGTCTATTTTCAAGGACTTTTTAGCTTTTAGGTTTATTAATTAATGAGGTTTCAACCTTTCTTTCATTGATAGTGTATTGAAATATATACTCTAATAATGTATCAAATATAAATCATTTTTGTTTAAATGCCCATTCAAATGCATATCATGTTAGTCTCATTTCCGATTTCCTCCAAAACTATATATGCTCTCAAATGTAAGCCTTTGTGATTGACAATGAGGCCATGAGCAAAATGTGGATGCTCTATTGTTCGGGGGGCTAAATGTTAGAATGAAAATTCAATCATAATTTGTACATGATTTTTCAATTGAGAATTTAGCATTTTATTTCAATTTTTTTTTAAAAAAAAAATAGAAATTGATAACATAAGTTAGTGACTATTATTAATCTGATTTTGATCTAAACTTGATCAGAATAGTCATTTAGATATTATAATAAAAAATTGACAACACTAAATCACTTTTTCTTGAGGGGGGAAGTAATTTCTCTTTCAATTTACTGCATGCCGTTGCATTGGCAAACACCATTCTTTAGTTTTTATCGGAGCATGTTGTACTGAAAGACTGTCTTTTTCTTCTGTTGTATTTTAATCTTTTAATATCTCTAATATAGTATAATTAAATTAATGTGGTTGGTGTTCCCTTGCTTGGAGAGCCTTCGGTTGTCCTCAATTAATGTTGAAAGGATATGGCACAACCGGTTTTCAAATATATCTGAGTACGGCGCTCAAAATCTAACAAGTTTGACAATCAAGGGTTGCGACAACTTGAAACAGCTATTATCATCTTCTATGGCTAGAAGTCTAACGCATCTTAAATGCTTTGAGATAGTTGAATGCAAATGCTTAAGAGAGGTGATATTTGCAGGGGATATAGAAGAAGAAGACAAGGCTACGATTTCATTTCCTCAATTAAACTCTCTAAAGATAAGGAAGCTTCAACATCTTATTGGGTTTTGTTCAGAAAATTATACTATTGAATTCCCATCCTTGAAGCTTCTGGAGATAGAGCAATGTCCTCAGTTGCGGGGATTCGTATCTAAATCTACAATGGAGAAGAACCAACATTTCTCTCCACAAGCTCTCTTCAATGAAAAGGTAGATTTATTGTTATAAAGTTCTGTACTATACTTGCTTTTCTTTTTTTATCTTTATTCTTGGAACTAATTACTCTTGTTATCTTTACACGATACACATAGGTTGCGTTCCCTACTTTGGAGCAACTGAGTATTTCCTGGTTGAGAAATATGAAGATGATATGGCACAATCAACTCTCTGTAAATTCCTTTTGCAAATTGGAAACAATGTTAGTTGAACATTGTAATGAGCTCTTTGCCATTTTTCCATTTGATTTGTTGACTACATTTCAAGGACTTCAAACTCTACAAGTATCTGGTTGTGGTTCAGTGGAACACATATTTGAACTCCAAAGGTTAAATATGAAAGAAACACATGTTGTGGCTGCTCAACTAAGAGAATTGTATGTTTTTAATCTACCAAAACTGAAGAATGTTAGGAACGAGGACCCCCAAGGAATTTTAACGTTTCAAAATCTAAATGTGGTATGGGTTAAGAATTGTTGGAGTTTGAAGCACGTACTGCCAGCCTCAGTTGCCAGAGTTCTTCCACAACTTAAAGATCTTAGAGTAAGTAGCTATGCAGTGGAGGAGATTGTTTCAAAAACGGAGGGATGGGAAACGAGTGTAACTAATTTTGAGTTTGATGAAGTGTCCTCCTTTATGCTATGGAACCTACCAAATCTCAAATGTTTCTATCCAGGAATGCATACAACAAAGTGGCCAATGTTAAAAAAGTTGAATACATAACACTGCAACGAAGTGAAGATACTTGACATTGGTTGTCTTAATTTGCCAGATATGACTGAGGACGACCAATTGGACTCCCCGAACCAAGCACCACTTTTCTTAGTTGAAAAGGTATGAACTCTAGATCACACTTAAAAAGCTACCTATTTGTAATAATACCATGTAACTGATTTTTTTAATCGATCATTTAGTTAAAATTTAAATTTTATCATTTCTCTAAATTTCTAAATTTGGGAAAAGTCTTATAATGGAAATTCACCAGCTTTTTAGACTTTAAGCTAGGAGACACAAGCACATCTGTACCAATTAGCCAAATGCTTAAATGCTGTAATGTTTCTCTTGGTAGATAGATTTTCCATTTTATTGTAATTGGATTTTCTTTGGTTTTGTAGGTGGTTCCCAAATTAGAAGAAGTGTCTTTGACCAGTGATGACATTGCAATAATATGTGACAGCAATGTTTCCCAAGGCATTTTCCATGAAATAAAAGCTCTTAATCTGCTCTGCTACCACGATGAATCTGCTATTTTTCCAACTACCTTTCTTGAAAGATTCAACAATTTGGAAAAGCTTGAGGTGGGTTGTAGCAGATTTAATGATTTATTCTCCTACGAAAGAGGTGTTGGCAAGGGGACAAATGCTCCGACATTTTTGCCAGTTAGAAAGTTAACACTGGGTGGTCTTCATTACCTAGAACACATGTGGATGCAAGGGTCACGACTTGACTGCATTCTTCCCAATCTTGAAATACTTGAAGTTGTCCTTTGTGGCAATATGATTAGTTTAGGATCATCCTCAACACCTTTTCAAAATCTCATGACTTTGGATGTGCAGGAGTGTAGAGCAATGATAAATTTAGTTACATCCTTAGCAGTCCAAAGTTTGGTCCAACTCAAAATTTTGCGGATAAAAAACTGTGGTTCAATGAAAGAAATTGTTGGAAATGAGGGAGATGATGAAGCAACCTATGACATTATTTTCAATAGGTTGGAATGTATAGAACTTCGACATTTACCAAGCCTTAAAAGCTTTTGTTCTGGCCATCACACATTTGGATTCCCATCTTTGAACCAAGTGATAGTGAGCCACTGTCCAGAATTGGAGATCTTTTGCAAGGGAGATTTAAATACACCAATTTTGCAAAGAGTACAAGTAATTGCAGGTGAAGATGAGAAGGTACACTGGGATGGTGACCTTAATGTTACCATCCAACGGTTGTACACAAAAAAGGTACTTCTTGATTTACAGAATTTTTTAATCTTTGAAATAAATGCCTTTTTAGGCTAGCTTTTTATTGGTGGATGTTATTTTCAACCATTTATTATGAATTTTGGGGGGTTTAATTCTACTCAAGTCTTATAATTTTCTTTTTTTTTTTTTTTTTTGGGGTAATAATTGGTGTCATAAATTGGATTTTGTAGGGCGACTATGAAGGAATAGAGTGTCTGGTGCTCTCTGATACTTCTAAAGCAATACAGATATGGAGGGATAATCTTCAAAAAAGTTTAAATTTAAAAAATCTTAAAGTTTTGGATGTTTGTGGATGTAATAACTTGAAATACGTATTCACCACTTCCATGGCTTTGGATCTTGAGCTATTGAAGGAGATGCAAGTAAGAAATTGTCTGATGATGGAGCAAATTATCACAAATGATGGGGCAGAGGAAGCAACAACAAGCACAATCATGTTCCCTTCCCTTGAATACATAAGTCTTGAGTCATGCTCAAACTTAAGAAGTTTTTATTTGGGAAGTAATTCAGTGTAATGTCCGATTTTGATAGAATTTAAGGTAGAAGATTGTCCTGAAATGGTTGCATTCTCGACTTCATCTCCAAGAGAGCAGAATACAAAGAGTATAGGTATTGCACCATTTTTCAGTGATAAGGTTAGTATTTATTTATGTGTATGGTTCTTTACATAGCAAATGATTCTATGATGATGTATTTAAATACTGTATGTTTAGTTTTGAAGGTTTAACGATTGAATTGTGATATAAAATTTTTTTGGTATGCTATTAAAAATTAGTAGCTTTTTTTATTGAATCTTTTATATAAAAGAGATATGATTTTATAAGTATTTTCAATTCAAAAAAGTTAAAAAAAGAAAATATAAATTGTTAAAAGAAAATATTATAAGAGTAATGTAATTAAATAATTTTTTTGAAGAAATTAACTTAATACACTTAGTTAAAAAGTACATAAGATTTTCAACACTTTTTTATTAAAATCTTCTATTAAGTTGTTTTTGAAATGAATTATCAAACATATAAAAAAATTAGATATTGAAAATTTAAAATTTTCAGTATTTTGAAAATTTTCAATAAATTATTATAAAGTTTGACCCAAGGAAATATAACACACCTTTTATCATTATTTTATATATAAAACTATAAATTTCAAAAGTTTAAAAAGTGAACAACTTACTATTTATTATATCAACTATTTTATCCTTAATTAATGATTTTCTTAATGTTGGCTAATATTTATTATTTGTTAACATTGAAAACTTTATTTAAATAAGTTTTATCCTTAATTGATAATTTTTATATGAAATTAAATAATTGACTATTTTTATCTATTTATTTCCTTTTAAATCTTGCATTTTGTACTAAATTAAACTATTTTTAGTAAAATTTAATCTCTATTCCATTGAATCATTAAGGAGTTTAAATATATATGAGATTTATTATTAATTTGTAATATGCCACAAAATGGATTGTTTTATATGCACTAAATGAATTAGATATAAAAAGATTATGGCTTTTCAACTTTACATATTTTTCCTTTTTAGGCTGTTTATTTTCATATTATTTAATGTCAAGTTGCTATTAAATTTGGATGATTTTTTTTTTTTCATTATTTTTTCATTTTTGGTTTTTCATTTACCCGACTTTATAATATGAGATATAAAGTTTAGATTATTGTTATTTGTTATTTTATTTTTTTAATTATTCTTCAAGTGTTTTTTTTTTATTATTATCTAGTCGTTTTGAAAGGATTAACTTTATATATTTATATGATCAAAATAATAGTTTAATATTTATTTGATAAATTATATGACTAATATATAAGTTATAATACTGATTTAAATTTATTTTAGGTACTCTAACATATAAAAATAGCCAATAAATTTTAAATAGCTTAATAAATTGATTTTAATGTACTTTTCTAAACTAATTTAACAAAATAAGCAAAACATAATATCAAAAAGCCATATAATGAAATGGTAATTTTACATAATTCATAGAATATGTATAATTGGTGTCATAAATTGGATTTTGTAGGTTGACTATGAAGGAATAGAGTGGCCGGTGCTCTTTGACTCTTCCAAGGCAATAGAGATATGGAGGGATAATCTTTGAAAAAGTTTAGATTTCAAAAATCTTAAAAGTTTGGAAGTTAATGGATGTAATAGCTTGAAAAACATATTCACTACTTCCACGGCTTTGAATCTTGTGCAATTGAAGGAGATGCAAGTAAGAAATTGTGTGATGATGGAGCAAATTATCGCAAATGATGGAGCAGAGGAAGCAACAACAAACACAATCATGTTCCCTTCCCTTGAATCCATAATTCTTGAGTCATGTTCAAACTTAAGAAGTTTTTATTTGGGGCATGATACAGTGGAATATCCATGTTTGACAGAACTTACAGTAGAAGATTGTCCAAAGATGGTTGCATTCGCAACTTCGTCTCCAAGAGCGCAGAATATAAAGACTAATGGTATTGCACCATTTTTCAGTGATAAGGTTAGTTTTTGTTTGTGCATATGGTTCTTTACATAGCAAATGATTCTAAGATGATGCTTGTTAGATTTAACAAATTCAAGACCAAAAAATTAAATACTAAATTTTTAGTTTTGAAGATTTAAACATTGAATTGTCATATAAAAATGTTTGGTGTGCTACTAAAAGTTAGTAGCTTTTTTATTGAATCTTTTATATAAAAGAGAGATGGTTTTAAAAGTATTTTCAATTAAAAAAAGTTTAAAAAGGAAAGAATATATTGTTAACAAATATTATAAGAGTAATGTAATAAAAAATTTTAAAAAAAAATTAACTTAATACATTAAGTAGCTAAAAAATACTTAAGATCTTCAGCACTTTTTTTATTAAAATCTTTTATTAATTTTTTTAAATGAATTATCAAATGCATTAAAAAAAAATAAATCATTGAAAATTTTCAATAAATTATAATAAAGTTTGACCAAATTAAATATGACCCACCTGCTAAGTTCAAAGTCATTTTTTCTTATGTTAGTTTCTTATTTCATGATGATATCTTTATCTTTATTATTATTTTATTTATAAAACTATTAATTTCAAAATTTAAATCGCGAACAACTTATTATTTATTAAATTAACTATTTGATCCTTAATAAATGATTTTTTAATATTGGCTATTATTTATTATGTATTGACATTGAAAACTTTATTTAAATAAACTTTATGTTTAATTGATAAAGATATATTTATATATATATATATGAAAATAGCCAATAAATTTTAAATGGCTCAATAAATTAATTTTACTGTGCTTTCTTTAAACTAATTTAACAAAATAAGCAAAACATAATATCAAAAAGCCATATAATGAAATGGCAATTTTACATAATTTATAGAATATGTATATTATTAAATAATTATGAATTCATAGCGGCACAAATTATTCAATGACCCATTTAAATTTATTTATAAGTAGTTTATCTATTATATAGCAGACTCTAGCTTTGTGTATGTCTTTCTTTTTTCTCCTTTTGCGGGCGAGAGGATAATAACAAGTTAAAAAATATCGAATTTTAATATTAATTTAGAGTTTTGATAGTGAGCAAAAAATTTTATGGTTTTACTAAGTTAATCCATAAAAAAATTAATTATCAAAATAATGCAACAAATTTCTAGTGTAATAGATGAGGAATACCTTTAATTGCCTCAATTGTATATACATTTTAATTACTTAATATTTTATTATTATTGTTATTACAATTATGAGTTAAATCATCCTATTTTGTAATTGAATTAGTAGTTTTTAATGCTCTTAGAATCCTTTGGTTATGCTTGTAGCTAGCTTTTCTTTTCTTCATTAATTTCATCTTTCTTAAATTTTTGTTAGGATTTGAAATTGATACTTTTGCTCTTCTTTTGTGTATCTTGTTAAGCTAGTAGTATAATTTATTTCCCTTTACTAACACAATCAAATAAATTTTTTGTAGGTGGTATTCCCTAACTTAACAAAATTGGTAATCGTTGGCAGTGGATATTGGACAACGATATGGGATAATAAACTCACATTTAGTTCATTTTCTGAACTTACTTTCCTTAGAGTGAAAAATTGTGAAAGTCTTCTGAATATTTTTCCATTTCACATGATGAAAAGACTTGACAAACTTGAATATCTTGAAATAGTGAAGTGTGAATCTTTGGTAGAAGTAATTGGACTTGATTATGGGCTCAATTCCACTGAATCAACCACTATGTTTATATTTCCTAAAATAAGAGACTTGTTACTTCATTGGCTACCCAAATTGAAGAATTTCTACTCCAGGTTGCATACTACAAGCTGGCCGTCCTTAAAACAATTGCAGGTAATAGGATGCGACAATGTGGAGATATTAGCTCGGGAGTATTTGAGCTTTTCAGAAACACTCGGAGAGAGCCAACTGGAAATTATCTCTTTTCAACAACCCTTGTTTTGGGTTACTGAGGTATGAACCTCTAATATCTATGTAGAATGTAAGTATTTATAATTTGTTTGGTATAGTTTCCTGTTTTCAGTTTTTTTTTTTTTTGAAAAGTTTGTTTTGAACACATAGAATATGTTTTGTAAGTAATTTTGTTACAGAATATGTTTTGTAAGTAATTTTGTTACATATGAAAAGAAAATACTTTAATCGTTGCATATATAATAATTCGATACACAATAAAATTTTAAAAACTAATTAAAAATAATATTACATTTATAAAATAAAATTATATTATTTGCATAATATTATCTAATACTATTTGATAGTAACATTGAATATTGCCATTTAATCATATTAGAATTTAATTTCCTTTAAATAATATTAAAATTAAATAGATAAATAAATAATAAAATTCGAAAATATTAATTAAAGTACTATTAAAAATTAAAAATTATATAAATATTAAATAAATTTTTTAATATTAAATTTCTAATATTTATATGAATTAATATAATTTTAAGTGATATATTTTATAATAATATGAATTCATAATCAATTATTGAAAATTCAATAATATCATCTATTGATTGTTGAATTTTCGATGCCAAATTATGGATTAAACTCTTTTTGTACAAACAACAAAGGATTTCGACCTTCTAAAATTTAAAAGGTTAATCATTAAGATTGCAAATAAAATGTTTTACATGCATTATAAATTTCATCCATAATTTTTTATTTTTTATATTGATTCCACTTCCACCATCACGCGTTTACGCCAAAAAAAGCTTTTATTATGTAACATGCCATTTGTTAGTGAAAAATGTAACAAAAAAGTCAAAATGAAAATTTAGAAGGCTAGAAATCTAAATAGAATAATTCAAAAGTTAAGGGCGGGATTAAAATTAGAATAAAAGTTAGAAACTATGGATGAAATTTACCGATTCAAAATCTTTGCTTTCGTTTAACGTATTTTTTATTTTCTTCTCAGGATACGTTTCCCAATTTAGAAAAGTTATTTTTGGAAGCGAATGATATTATGACGGAGATATGGCATGGACAACTTCCAACCCAACATTTTTGCAAACTAACATATCTTTCGCTCCAAAGAATTCCGAACAGATTAGTTACTATCCTAAACAGTTTCATTCAGTCATTGCCAAATCTTGAAACACTTAAAGTGGAAGAAGCTCCCTTGAATGAAATATTTCAATGCGAAGGACTTGGGGGTGAGGAGGAACATCCTGGAGCACTTGTTCGGTTGACTGAATTATTCCTGATAGAACTTCCTGAGTTGACACATCTCTGGAAGGAAGAATACCAAGTTGGAGAAGTTTTCAGTAACCTGGAAACTCTAAAAGTGTGGAAATGTGACAAATTGAAGACTTTAGTGCCGTCTTCTGTGTACTTTAAACATTTGACAAATCTGCAAGTGTCAAATTGTCACGGGCTTAAAAATTTATTAACACTCCCAACGGCAAAAAGCTTGGTGGTACTCACAGAAATGAGTATTACTGATTGCCAAATGATAGAAGAAATCATAGCTCGTGGAAGTGATGATGTGATGGATGGCATCGTGTTCTCCCAACTGAAGTCTTTGGAACTTCGTTGTCTTCCGAGCCTATCAAGCTTCTGCTCAGGGAATTGTGCCTTTGGATTCCCTTCCTTGGAAGAGTTAATAATGGGACAGTGTCCAAAGATGGAAATTTTCACTACGGGAGAGTTGAGCACACCAATGCTGCAGGGAATACAATCAACTGAAGGTGAATATGTAGGGCATTGGGAAGGGAACCTCAATGCCATTGTTCAACAGTTGTTTACAGAAAAGGTATGCATCAATTCAAATGATTTTCTTACCACTGTTACATTGTTTTATGTGCATGATCATATTCCACTTGAATTGCAACATTGCCCGATTGTTGGCTTTCCAACTTTCCATGTTGTACATTCTGTTAATGGTTATATGACTTGTAAGAATGTTGTAACAATAGATTTTTCTGCTTTTTGGCTCCCTTAAAAATTTCATTGATTCATATGCAGCAAGATTTACACCAGACATTTATGCAGACCTATCAACAAGTAAGTTGGGCACAAATACAGACAGTTGGATGTGTCTGCCAACGCAACTGATCACATTATAGAGTTTTGATTAAGTTAAAATTTTCTTCTAGTTAAAATCTTTTGTTCTTATTTGGTGATCGAGGAAATGAAAAACAAAAGCAGCAGACACGTTCTTATTATTTGCATGCTTCCCTAGTACCGTCATTCATGTGTTCTTTTTTTTTTTTATTTATCAGCTAAAGAGTGGAAAGTTTTTCATGCATTGAGGAATATATATACTGTATGCAGGTTTTTCCAAGCTTGGAGGATTTGGAACGGTCATCAATCAACATTCAGAGAATCTGGCATAAAAAATTTCTGGCAACAGCTTCTTGTGCCCAATATTTAACATGCTTGACTATCGAGGGCTGTCACAATTTAAACTGTCTATTTTCGTCCTCAATGATGGAAAGTTTTGCACAACTCAAGATTCTTAACATTGAGAATTGTGAGAATGTAGAAAAAGTAATCTTGATAGAGGGATTAGCGAAAGAAGAACTGATGAGCCAAAAGTTGTTCGGTAAACTAGAATTCCTATTGCTCAAATACCTTCCCAAACTGACGAGATTCTGCCATGGAAGTTACCTTGATTTCCCCTCCTTGAGAACTGTTAGGATAGAGAGTTGTCTTACATTAGATACGTTCGTCTCTGATGCAGAAGGAAACAACTCAGAGATTGCCTCTCCGACTCTTTTCAATGAAAAGGTGATAGTGATACTCCATTACTTTGTTTTCTCTGTGTCATTACTCTCTCTCCATTAATCTTACCTTAAATTCTATGCAATTATTGACACAATCAAACAAATTTCATAGGTGGCATTCCCTTGCTTAAAGGAATTGAGCATCATAGGTGTGGGAAACTGGAGAAAGATCTGGCATAACGAGGCAACCAACTCCGGGGGGTTCATTTTGCAAATCACTAAATCTTCTATAGGTGTTTGATTGTAAAAGACTTGAATACTTTTTTTCATTTAAATTTGTGAGATACTTGAGGCTTAGTCATGTTCCTTCAGTTGAAGTGAGAAAGCAGATGGTGAGTAAGTCTTTTACTTCCATAACCTTCATTTTTTTTTCTCACACACTTCGTTGTTGACCGTTTACCAAATTTTATAGGTTAAAATCCACACAGCTCAGAAATGAATTTTGATGCATACATATGTTAGGATCTACCCTGAATCACCTGTGAGGAGTTTAAGCCAGTCAAAGAGTACTTAGCTACCTTGTTTAAACATAGCGGCTATGGCATTCCATGACTACTTATAACCAGGGCGATACCTTGATAAGCTTTCACCTCCATCGAACAGGTGCACCAAATGCACTTGCTTTACAGAGTAAAATATCGTAATTATGCCTTTGGATTCCATTCCTTGGAAGAGGTTATTGAGAGAAACTGTCCAAAGATGAAAATTTTCTGCAGAGGAGAGTTACCTTCAAGTTTGCTGAAAGCGAAATTTGCTGAAGAAAAAGATCGTTGGGACGGTAATCTAAACACCACCATGGAACAAATTTTCATAGAAATGGTATATGCTTATTCAGATACTTATTTTTCAAAATTTTAGAATTTTTTATTCTTTTTGCTTCTACACTCTGTTAAAGCTAACCATTCTAAATGCTTCCAATTTGCTTAATTAATTTAATCTTTCTGAAAAGAATCCGTGGATTTAGTTGATGGATAACTGTTTTTTAGGACGTAACTACGTATATAGGACGTAGTATACACACCTACATTCTTTATCTGGTAATAAAGATTATTATTATTGAAATGAAGATTTGATGCCCACTCATAAAAGTTTACAATTCATAGTAACATTTTTATAGAATGGAAGATTATAGCTGTGCAATGAGTATTAATCTGATATTTTAAATATTTTATTCAGTTGCATATTCAAAATATAATGGTTATATATGTCACCTTGTTCATAGAATTCTTTGAAAATATGTGGTTCTTTTAATGGTGTTTGCTTTCACTTTTATCATGATGTTTTGTTTACAGAATGTCCAGAATTTATAGCGGAGGAAGGTTGTCGGACACATTTTCAAGCTGAATAAAAACAATATTTTCTATGTTTTTGAGAGAAGTGCTTCACCTCATTTTCTTTTAAGAATTAAAGGTATTGTTTTGCAAAACTTCGTTTGTCTTCTCATATTGTCACAATTTCTTTATAGTTGGTCTGGTGCTTCTTTGCTTCAGGATGAATAGGGAACTCCTCTTCTCTGCCACAAACCCTGTCAAAGCTGCCATGTTCCTATCTCACTACCCACCGATGTTTGTTTTTAAATTTTTGCTATTTTCGAGTGATTTGGATTGTTTGTGTTGATTTCTAGGTACCTTAACATTAGTTTGGATTTTGATCTTCTTAAGGATCTCTTTTACGACTATGTATATGGAGGGATCTCTTTTACGACTATGTATATGGAGACACCTTGCATTTATTTAACTGTAAATTCTATCACCTGATAATGATCTTTCTTGTGTTCCTGTCATGGCTACTGTCAACAGATGGCAGCCATAGACATCAAATTCTAAGTTATTATTTCCTCCGTTATTGCTTTACTGGTTCAGCCTTTGACAACGTGGATTTCTGTATGATATTTGTAATTAGTTGTATCAACAATTCTTGTTTTGTCCTTCAATTAGTCAATCCTAGTTATTACTTCAAACCCACAATTCTAAAGAAGACTGAAGATCATATTTAGCATTCTGTAGTCATATCCTCTTTGCATGTACGGGACAATTGCTCTTGGATTGGTCCTTACTGGACGATTGAAAGAATTGAAAGTAGTATATATTTTAACAGGTAAATCGATTTGTACTAAGATTTTCTAGTTTCTTAATGCTCTACATATATACTAAATGTTCCGTGCCATTTTCTTTGTTTTTCAGTTTATTTTGGTGTAGATGATTCTTTTGGCAGTTTAGCTCCTCATAATGTACAGGTGAGTTTCATATATATTCTGTAATCTGAATTATTGCCAAGGGTTATTGCTTGATGTGAGACTACAATTTTTGTTTTGAAACAACTGTAGGAAGATTAACTTCCTATAGTGCCTTCATTATTTTGAATGTTTTCTGCTTTATGTTTTGGATCTTGCGGTAGATATTTTGAGTTCAATAAATTGTCTTTTGGTTTGTCGCAGTTGCTGTTGGGTTCATATAACACCCAAATACCACTTATGATGTTCATGGCTTTAGTTTCTCTCTTATTGGCGAGTTTCTTTGGGTATCATGCTAATCTTTGTCTCACAAACACCTCAATGAACGAGGTGAGAGCCGTTTAAACCTTGCCCATTTAGTTTGTTACCTGAATTTGCCAACCCAGCCTTGACCGAACATAAACCATGAAATAGTTTGCTACGCAGATTGAGTTGTAGTTGAAACCATGAAACTAGAATCACATGTTCTCATCTGTCTGAAAATACAGAACTTCAAGTGGCAAGACTACTTAAGCTGGCAGCTAGAAGAAACTGAGTGAAGCAAGAGCAAATGTTGCAGCATTGAAAGCAAGCATCACCGGATGAGTTGTGATGGAAAGCCTCCGGAGACCAAATGTAAATCCTTCTTCAGAAGGTCCCCTCTAGAGGATACTGAAGGTGTTGTAAAGAATAATGTGTATGAAAACGGATTCTTTCACAATTTCTTTGAGGTCGTTTATCCGTTTTCGACAAGAGCATCATTTTTGCAGACCAAAACAGAATCTGGCTAAGATTGTGAACTGTTAATGCCTATACATTCACTCGGCTTTCGCCTTCGGTCATCATGTTGTCAGCCAGAACTTCAAGATAGATGATCAGGCTTAAATCTCAAGAGTTGCATGTGGAGCAAAGTCCATTGTACAGCTTCTTCACTGGCTGCAGTATTATTGTTCGGTAAAAGAGTTAACAATACATCTTATTTTAATTGTAAGAACAGCATTCGAGACTACAGTAATTGGAGAGAGCAGTACATTTTCTTACATCTCGGGTTATTATTGTCCTTTTAGTCAAGGAGACTCGGTCCTTCGACCTTGGAAAAAATATAGAATCATTATCAATTTTTTTTTTTATTTTAATGTGATTGATCATTTAAATTTTATTTTTTAATAAAATTCTAAAATTAATTAAAGCTTATCAAAAAATAATTTTGTTTTATGACAATCAAAGCTGAGTTTGAAAATATAATTACACTTGAAGAAAGGTATTAGCATCTCATTTAAGCAAATGTTATCCTTCATTTGATATTTTTCATTTGATATATGGTCTTTTTTAATATTTGAAATTTATTCCAAAAATATAATGTTAAAAAATTTATTTTTATTATTTTATTTAAAAAATTTATTATTTACATTTTATAAAATTTCCAACTTTCTTGTGGAATTTATAGAAAATATTTTCATTTGTAAAATTTTGAAAAAATATTCAACCATTCACAATATTTTTAAAATTTTTTTATGAGATATTTTTATTCACAAATATAATGAAATAAAAAACATATATAATTTAAACAAATAATAATTATAATTTTATTATTATGTAAAATTTTGCAATTATTTAATATTTTGTGATTATTTAAATGAAATCTTTATTTGTAAAAATTGATTTTAAGGTTTTCCCAAATCTTTGGTGTAATTTAAAAAATCATTTTTACTTAGTTATAATTAAGAAAAATAAGACTCCTTTATTTTTCTCTAACAACCCCTTTTTCAACAGATTTTGATCAACTAATCACTTTTTATTTTTATTATTTTATATTTTGTTTATTTATTTATTTTGATTATTTAAATAAATCTATATTTAATAAAAATAATTTTTAAATTATCCCAAATTTTGGTGAAATCCAAAAATATTTTGACTTGTCAATAATAAAAAAAATAAAACTGTTATTTAAACAATATTTTTGAATTATTTATTCATTATTTATTTACAACAATAATTTACACAACTCATTTAAACAATATAAATATAAAAAAGTAAAATAAAGAAAATATATACCTTAAAATCTTAGGCCAAATTTGATGGACTTCCAATTGAATTGGAACCTTGAAGTATTTGATATTGGACTCCCAAATGAAATTGGGCTACATTAAAAATTCCAACAACCTGAGACTAAAAATATCAGCCAATTATTTTCTTTTATCTTCCTCCTCTCTACCTCACCTTTTATTTAAAAATTTCGATGTGCACTCATGTTTATATGATATCCTTTTATTCTCTTTTAATCTTTTTAAACATACGTATTCATAAAAAATTCTTTTAATTTTTTCTAATTTTATGAGTTGTGTATCTTATAAAATTTTAAAACTCATTTATATTTTCATCATATTATAGAAGCCTCACTATTTATAAGCTTATTAATTTGACTATCAAAAAAAATTTTTCTTAAATTTTTTTAAAAATCTTCTTACTTATTAAATATTATCTAATTAATCTCGAAAAAAATTTCAATCAAATTTTTTATGAAATTTGAATTATTATCTCAATAGAGTTTATGTTAAGTTAGGGATTGTGATTGTTATGAGTATTGTAAGGTGGCGTGAATGATGTCTGTGATTATTACCGGAGGTTAGTGATGAGAGGAGATGGTGTCTGGATGGTAGGCGACCAGAAAGGAAAATTTAGCAGAGTGTATCTCTGGTCTCAATGGTGATAATTGTAAGCTGTGAAAGATTGTAGATGAAAACTGTAGGTAGTAGAGAACATGTTAAAGGATCAAGGTGTTTTATTGCTTGTGTGATTGATCCCCCTACTCTCGGCTCTCATGTTTGAAGGCTCCATTTATGAATAAAATTGGGAGTTCAATTCCCTTATTTTCAGGGATCCAGCCTCCATTATCAATTGAATTTCAACTGCTAATAAAGACCAATGGTGTGAAACTAAGATGGCAGGCGGTTGGAATTTGGATTAACAAACCAGTTGATTTAGCTTCTACCATTTTTTTCTGATTCTTTTAACTGTTTTTTTTTTTCAAAATTTTTTATTTTTTGGATTTTCATTTTGATTTTTTCCAACTTTTTTACAAATTTTTCTTTTTTTTATTCACAAAAATAAAAATAAAACCAAATTAATTTCCAACAAGCTTTAAAATTTTGGATTCATTATTGGAATTTGGGCTTGACCCAAACTCAACCGTGAATTAGATTAATTCTTGATTTAAGAAAAATTAAAATTTAATTAAGCTCAAAATATAAATCACAATTATTTAAAGATTCAATGATCCATTTTATGAGTTTGGACAAAAGCAAGTAATAATAATAATAATAATAATAATAATAATAATAATTATTATTATTATTATTATTATTATTATTATTATTATTACACAATTTTAGGGAGGAAGGGTTTTAACCTTTAGAATCATGAGAGAGAATGCATCTACCTTGTACAAGAGAAAATATATGTGATTTTAACATGAGACATGAGTTTTCTATAAAAAGAAAAACTAAGGAAAACATAGGCCTTGTATGGAATAAGAGCTATTATATGGATTTAAATACTAGTGAAAATGATGAGATTAGTGTCGGATTACAAGTTCACTGTTTGTTCTTTTGCATGTACGTACTAATTTTTTTTACATTTATAATAAGTTTTCTTTTATGGTTCATAAATAAATAATTAATAAATATAATCTTTTACCTAATTTAGTCTATTATTTTCTCGATGTTGTATATGCTTTTACTAGAAAATCTCAATATATTTTTTTCCTTTATATCTGTTTGAATTCACTTTTTTTTTGGCTGAAAATATATTTATATTTACGGATATCAACAGAGTTTTATACAAAAAAAAAGACATATTTTAATCTCCTTCTTCTTCTTATTTTTTAACAAAAAATTCGTAATATGAGGATAAAGAGTAAAGAAAAGTGGTTGTAAGTATTAATATTTGAATTTTAAATTTATTGAATACGATAATATAATAGAATCAAATGAATTAAATCTTAAGTTTATAGAGTTTATAATTTTACATTTCTATTTATAATTTTTTTTATATTTCCTGTAACATGAAGTAAGCGGTAAAATATTATTGTAGCTAGTATGTATTTGTTTATTAATTTGTTTTATATTTGGATAGCAGTTGTCATGGCTAAAAAAATAATGACCAACTAATTATGGGGATAGTCTTTCATTAAAATTTGCTTGTAGCTTCTATTGTCCTTATCATGATAATGTATGACATTAACTTAATGAATTAAAAAAAAGTTATTAAAAAGCATAAAAAAACATTGTTATAACAACTACCTTATTTGCTTGTCGCTTCCAAATGTCTTCTTTTTTTGTCTATATCAATTTTTGTAGATTTATAAGTGTTAACACATGATTTGTTGGCCGGTCATATTTTATTAGTAATTGCAAACTCTCATTAATTTAAAAAAAAAATTGCAAGTTGCACTAAAATCAGATGATTTTATTGTCATAGAAGTTGATTTTATCGCCATAAAAGTTAAATGAATCAATAAAATTGAAATATTTCGTAGATGAAATTTAGATTCCAATCATATTATCAATTATTTATCTTTGGTGGTGCATGGAAAGCACCCTAAACTTTGTTTGACCGAAAAAAAAAGTTGATATATATATATATATATATATATATAAAATCCAAATACAGAGTTGCTTTTTTCTTTCTTATTTGTTAGTGTTGGTGAATGGAGCTACTTTCTTGTCTTATGCTTTTGGAATGATGTATTATTTAGACTCCATTTGATTGGTTGGTATTTTTTATATTTATTAAAAGATATAAATGAAAATCAAACAGAACCTGATTTATTTAATAAAATTAGTAACCAAGCTTTCTTTACTTAATTAGTAATGTTTCTATTGTGAATTACATTGCTCATATAATTAAAAAACAAAAAAAATATGAAGGCTTATTTTCTATGGGAAATAAAAAAAAAAAAGACTTTGTTTTGGTAATGAAAAAATATTGTACGATGCTGGAGTTTTTCTATTATTTAGTTGAAGTGATAATATATTTTTTTTAATATAGCTATCTAAGGCATTTTTGTCTTTCATCAAAACTGCTCTTTCCTATTTGGATTGGGACTGCATTTAGATTGCGACGCATGAAACGGTTTGGAAGCTGTATTTTCGAAGGTCAGTCTTTCTTTATAATTGCTATTTCTATGTTCAAAATTCTAAGCAAATCGCAATGTGAAACAGTTTCTTAATTTCTTCCTTTAATAGAAAGGAAAGGACTTTGGGCAATCTGATGACTGATTCAATTTTTTCATCATGGGTCGCTTTCTTCTATCTGCCCATAAATAAGGCTTCAACCTTTCTCCTCAACTCATCTCATCCCTTTAATCGTTTTCCACTCTTAAGTTTTTGCTTAAATTCAGTTTCTCTTTTTAAAAAAACCCTTTTCCCTACTTCCCTCCTTGCTGCATTTGTCTTTTTCTAACCTGCTTTTAATCCCCTTGTTCTTCTCTTTTTTTCCTCTCTGTTTCTCTCATTGATTGCTAACGGTTCGGAAGACGAGTCTGTCTAAACCATTTCCAGTCTTCACCCATAACTGATTTTACATATATTCCTATTATCTTTCTTGTTAATTGCTCTCCTGTTGTCTCTGTTTTATTCTGTCATTTGCTTTGCTTGTTTGCTTGAAACTAAACAATCAACCAAAAAATAAACATGGAACCAATTGCAACTGGCACTGCAGCCAGACTTTCTTCGGAAGCTGGGAAAGGCATCTTTCATGAAATCAAACGTCATATGAGATATGTAACTATCTATAAGAAAAACGTTGAAAATTTCGAGGAGAAATGAAGATGTTGTTGGCGAAAAGAGAAAGTGTTCAGAAAGAGATCGAAGTTGCAGAAAGGAACGTGGAGAAGATTAAACCGCACGTCGAGCTTTGGTGCAGTACTGTGGACAAGGTCATCAAAGACGAGGTGAAAAGTGTGAAGGATCTTCAAGACAAAGCAACCACCAAGTGCTTCATTGGCTTGTGTCCTAACATTAAGTCTCGCTACCAACTTAGCAGGAAAGCAGAAGAAGTTGTCGCCGCTGTTAATGAACACCTTCAACAAGGTGAATTCAACAGTGTTTCATGCCCTGCTCCTCCGCCAGAAATAGTTGACGCAACACCTAAAGATTTTGAGAACTTCGAATCAAGAGCAATGGTTTTTAAAGACATCACGGAGGCATTGAAAGATGATACTATCAACGTGATAGGGGTGTATGGGATGGCTGGCGTGGGCAAAACCACTCTAGTCAAAGAAGTCGCTAGACAAGTCAAAGAAAATAAGTTATTTGATTCGGTGATCATGGCAATTGTGAATCAGACTCCTGACGTTCAAAAAATTCAAGACCAACTTGCAGATTTATTGGGTCTAAAATTAGAAGAAACGAGTATGGTTGTAAGAGCAGGTCGATTGCGCGAAAGATTGAAGAAAGAGAAGAAGGTTCTCGTTATTTTAGATGATATTTGGAAGAAACTAGATCTGAATGATGTGGGGATTCCTTTAGGAGATGAGAATAAGGGATGCAACATATTGCTCACGTCAAGAGATCTAAATGTTCTAAGGAATGAGATGGATGCTCAGAAAAATTTTGCTCTCTCTGTTTTAGAAGGTAAAGAAGCTTGGGACCTGTTTAAGAAGATGGCTGGGGACGATGCTGAAAGTCCTGAGTTGCGATCTACAGCAATCGAAGTAGCGAAAAAATGTGCAGGACTGCCTGTCGCCATTGTAACAGTTGCAAGGGCTTTAAGAAACAAAGGGTCATTCGCGTGGAATGATGCTTTGAGAAAACTACAAAGGCCTTCCCCAACAAACTTCACTGGAATACCAGCACATATTTATTCAGCGATAGAGTTGAGTTACAACCAGTTGGAAAGCGAAGAACTCAAACAGACATTCTTGCTTTGTGGTCTACTAGGTCATAACACTGCTATTGGAGACTTGCTGAAATATACCATTGGTTTGGGTTTATTTCATGGTGTCAACACAGTAGAAGAAACCCGAGATAGATTGCTGACAGTGGTGAGTGACCTCAAATCCTCTTGTTTGTTGCATGATAGTTACACCAATGTGCGTGTTGATATGCATGATCTCATTTGTGATGTGGCGTTAGCAATTGCTTCTAGGGACAACAATGTGTTTGCATTAAAAGACGAAGATGTTCTGAAAGATTGGCCTAATGGAGAGACAATGGAAAAATGCACCATGATTAGTTTGAGATATGCTAATATTAGCTATTTTCCGAAAGAGTTGAAATGTCCGCGACTTACCTTTTTCTTTGTGGGTAGCAAGGATTCTTCTGTGAAAATACCAACCAGCTTTTTCATGGAAATGAAAAATCTTGAAGTATTAGATTTGACTAAGATGCATTTTTCGTACTTACCTTCATCAATTAGTCTTTTAAAAAATCTTCGAACATTGTGCCTAGATCAATGTGTGCTGGGAGATATTACCCTTATTGGAGAGCTTAAGAATTTAGAAATTCTTAGCCTTTTGAGTTCTGATATTGAAATGCTGCCTAAGGAAATTGGGCAACTGGTTAAACTAAAGTTGTTAGATCTGAGTGACTGTACCAAACTCAAGGTAATACCACGAGGTCTCTTATCAAGTTTTTCCAGATTAGAAGAATTATTTATGGCCAATAGTTTTGTTCATTGGGAGGTAGAGGGACAAGTCAATGCTAGTCTTGCTGAATTGAAGGCTTTGTCTTGCTTGACCACTTTAAATGTTCATATTTTTTTATGCTAAGATTATTCCAAAAGACTTGTTCCCAGCGAAATTGAAAAGATATAAGATTTTCATAGGAGATCAGGCAAGGGATAGGTTTTTTAAGAATGAATGCTTGAGAGCACTTAACTTGAAGCTAAACACAAGCATTCATCATTTGGATCCTGGAATTAAAAGGTTGTTGATGAACACTGAAGATCTGTACCTTGAAGAAATGAAAGGTGCCAAGATTGTCCTGCCTGAATTCCATGACTGGCATTGTTTTCGATATTTGAAGAATCTCCATATCCAAAATGGTTTGGAGATCCAATATATCGTTGATGATCATGATGCAGTTGATATAATTGAGTTTCTCCAATTACGATCTTTGACACTTGAAGATCTACCAAAGCTCGTTAGCTTCTGCTCTGAGAACAAACCGGGCTCTGCTTTCATACCTCAACATCAGTTGCCACTTTTCAGTCGAAAGGTAATTATGTATTCTTGAGTAGTAATGTTTTTTGAACCTATTCTTGTGTTGGAAAACATCATTCCTTTTTTTTTCAATGTTTTAATTCTAGAATAATTACACACATGTAGATGGTCTTCCCTTGCTTGGAGAATCTTCATTTGTCCTCAATCAATGTTGAAAGGATATGGCACAGCCAGCTTTCAAATAAATCTGACTACACTCAGAATCTGACAAGTTTGATCATTAAGGGTTGTGACAACTTAAAACATCTATTATCATCTTCCATGGCTACAAGTCTAGCACATCTCAAATGTTTTGAGATAGTTGAATGCAAGTGCTTGAGGGAGATAATATTTACAGAAGATATAGAAGAAGAAAACAAGTCTACGATTTCATTTCCTCAATTAAACTCTCTAAAGATAAGGAATCTTCAGCATATCATTGGATTTTGTTCAAAAGATTATAATATTGAATTCCCATCCTTGAAGTTATTGGAGATAAAGAACTGTCCTCGATTGGAGGGATTCATATATAAATCTACAATGGAGGAGAACCAATGTTTCTCTCCACAAGTTCTCTTCAGTGAAAGGTATTACAGTTAATATTTTCTTTTGTAAACTTGCTTACCCTGTGTATGGCTTTTAAGGTTTTTGATATATTGTTGGAACTAACTTTTATATATTACTTATTAATGGTATGAATTACATATAGGTTGCATTTCCTACTTTGGCAAAGATGAACCTATCGCACTTGAGCAATATGAAGATGATATGGCACAACCACCTGTCTGCAAGTTCCTTTTGCAAACTGGAAAGAATGGAGGTTAGACACTGTGATGAGTTATTGACTATTTTTCCATCTACTATGCTGTTGGGAGGAACATTCCAACTACTGCAAAGTATGTCAGTATCCCATTGTGGTTCACTAGAAGAGGTATTTGAACTACAAATGTTAAATATGAACACAGGGTGGGTTAAGGAATTGTTAATCAAAATGAAGAATGTTTAACAAGTTAAGATTTTGACATTTCAAAATTAAATGAGTAACGTTAGGCTGTGAGGAAATTGTTTCCGGCTCAATCCAGAGTCTTCACAAACTTAAATTCTTATATATCCATGAAGATTGTTCAAAGCGAGGTAAGTGTCTTTTGAGTCTGATAAGTGCTCCTAGTGCATGAACTTCCAAAACTTAAATGTTTTATAGGAATGCTACACAAATGGCCAATGTTATGTTGAAAACATACCATGCAACAAGTATACTTGCAGGATTTAATTTGCCAGAAATGAATGAGATGCCATTTGTCCCCATCAACACTCTGTTTTGAAAGTATCTCTAGCAATCTTAAAGCACTGTAAAATATTATACTATTCACTTTCATTCAAAATTCTAAAGTCTTATAATGGAAATTCACTAGCTCTTTAGACTTTAAGCAAGAGACACAAGCACCTATGTACCAATTAGCCAAATGCTTAGATGCTGTTAATATATCTCTTAGTAGATAAATTTCCATTTTCACTAGAAAAGTACAAAAATTCTAATTGATTTTCTTTGCTTTTTTAGGTGGTTCCTAAATTAGAAGAAGTGTCCTTGACCAGCGATGACATTGCAATCATATGTGATTAGCAAGGTTTCCAAAGGCATTTTCCATGAAATAAAAGCTCTTTATTTGGAATGCTACCACGATGAATCTGCTATTTTCCCAACTATCTTTCTTGAAAGATTCAGCAATTTGGAAAAGCTTGAGGTGATTTGTTGCAAATTTATGGATTTATTCTCCTCCGAAGGAGGTTTTGGTAAGGGGACCAATGCTCAAACGCTTTACCTATTAGAAACTAAGATGAACAGCCTTTATTATATAAAACACAAATGGATGCAAGGGTCACGACTTGATTGCAATTTTCCCAATCTTGAAACACTTGAAGTTTCCAATTGTGGCAACTTGATTAGCTTAGGATTGTCCTCAACACCTTTTCAAAATCTCATGACTTTGGATGTTTGGGAATGTGAAGCAATGATAAACTTAGTTACATCCTTAGCAGTCCAAAGTTTGGTCCAATTCAAAAATTTGAGAATAAAAACTGTGTTTCAATGAAACAAATTATTGGAAATGAGGGGAGATGATGAAGCAGCCTCTGTCATTATTTTCAACGGTTGAAATGTTTGGAACTTGGACATTTACCAAGCCTCAAAAGCTTTTGTTCAGGCAATCACACATTTGGATTCCCATCTTTGGACCAAGTAATTGTAAGCCAGTGTTCTGAATTGGAGATCTTTTGCAAGGGAGAGTTAAATGCTCCAACTCTGCAAAGAGTACAAGTAACTGACAAAGATGAGAAGGGACATTGGGATGGTGACCTTAATAGCACCATTCAACAGTTGTTCAAAAAAAAGGTACTTACTGAGTTACAAAAGTTTTTTTTTTTATAATCTTTGAAATAAATGTCTTTTTAGGCAAGCTTTTTATTGGTAGATGTTATTTTCAACCATTTATTATGACTTTTTGGGTTTGATTTATTCAAGTTTTATGATATTCTTTTTTTTTGTGGTAATATTTGGTGTCATAAATTGGATTTTGTAGGTTGACTATGAACCAATGGAGTATCTAATGCTTACTGAGTTTTCCAAGGCAATAGAGATCTGGAGGGATAATCTTCAAAAAAGTTTAAATTTAAAAAATCTTAAATGTTTGGAAGTTTATGAATGTAATAGCATGACATATGTATTTACCACTTCCATGGTTTTGGATCTTGTGCAATTGAAGCAGATGCAAGTTAGAAATTGTCCGATGATGGAGCAAATTATCACAAATGATGGAGTAGAGGAAGCAGCTACAAACACAATCATGTTCCCTTCCCTTCAATCCATAAGTATTGTGTCATGTTCAAACTTAAGAAGTTTTTATTTGGGAAGTAATACGGTGGAATGTCCATATTTGACAGCACTTGGGTTAATGGATTGCCCTAAGATGGTTGCATTCATATCTTCATCTCCAAGAGAGCAGAATATAGATAATATTGGTATTGCACCATTGTTCAATGATAAGGTTAGTTTTTGTTTCTGCATTTGGTTCTTTATTTTCTATTAATGACTTTTTATTAAATTGAAATATTGGATAATATTTGTTTATTTCTTATTCATTAAATTAACTATTTTACTCTTAAATAATATATTTAATTAAATTGAAATGTTGTCTAATATTTATTTATTTTCTTATTAACACTGAAAACTTTATTAAAATAAACTTATCTTAATTGATAATTTTTTTATTGAACTAAATATTAATTAATTTTGATCTATTTTATTTCTTTATTAATCTTGAATTTTTTATCAAAATAAACTATTTTTAATCAAATTTAATTTGTATACCTTTCTATCATTAAAAAGTTTAAATATGTATAAGATTTATTATTAATATATAATAAATAAGTCACAAAATGTTATTTTTTATATATTCTAATTGAATTAGATATAAAGGGACTATTGTTTTCCTCTTCATATTTTTTTTCTTTTTTATGAAAGTCTATTTTCCTATTAAAGAGAGGAGAGATTCACTTATACTAGCTTAAGAGCTACACATTTTTTGCCCTTTTAATCAAAATGATTAAATGTAAGTGTTAAAGATTTAATTTTGATATAAAGGTCAAAAAAATGTGTAACTCTCATATCTATTGTAAGTAGATCCTTACATACACACACGCGCGCGCGCACACATATACACATATATATATATATATATATATATATAAAGTGATTAACTTACATCAGTGTAAAACTTTTTAATTTTAGTTTTATACCTTTTTTTAGTCATTGATATCAATAGATTTAATAGATGAGATTAAACCATTTTTTCATTTGTCTCTTCAATTACTTTGATCTATTGAAATTAATGATTAAAAAAATATATAAAACTAAAAAATTTTAGAGTGATGTAAATTTGTCCCTCCTTTCTTTATATATGAAGAGGTATCGACCTACATTAGTGTAAATCTTACATTTTATATTATTCTTGGATCAAAATTACTAAAATTAAAATTATTATTTTGATTCAAATTATTTATGAATTTGATTTTGATCCAAATGTTAAAAAAAATATAAGACTTATATTAGTATAAGTAAATCCTTACTTTCTCTTTCTCTCTCTCTCTCTCTCTCTCTCTCTCTCTATATATATATATATATATATAT